TTTGCCAGATCTCAACGAATTCTAATATATACAACATTATCATGTTCAGACCAGACAATTTTTCTCCTTTCTTGTATCTCTTTTATACTCTGTAGATGCTTTAGTGGTTGACAGTTTCCATTATTAGTAATTGTTAGTTATGTTTTGCTTATATCTTTTAAGGAAGTGGGTGTGTATTTTGATGGTTGTTGAGTGTTTATATTTTCTCCTCACTGTGAGAGGATTCATAAATCTTTTGTGATTATTTATTGTGAGATAGTATCTAGGTTTCTTGGCACCAAGAAACTTAATAATTAGTCCGACGTTACGGATCAAAGATACGGTGAGATATAGAGAGCCACATGAGTGTAATGGAGAGACTTGTGATGGAAAATGTTCGTGCAATTGAAGAGTCAAGAGAGGAAACTCGAGCCAATTTCCAGAGGCTTAGTGACATGAAGAAGGAATTGATGCGAAGAATAAAAAATTTGGAAAGAGGTTCTGAAGGAAGTAAAGGTTCTGTGAATGGAGACAGAGCAGGAGAAAGGGATGACACTGAGGAAGTAGAGGTACTGCAAATTGTGTAGAAAATTTAAAAGGAGGAATATATTTTGGGGTTAAATTGTTTTCTCTTTTGATTTTTTTTTTCTAACTTTCTCTACTACATTCAAAACATTTTAAATATTGAGAAGTAACTGTTAGAATGCTATAAGTTTAATAAGAATTACATAAGTACTACTAAATACTCTTAAAAGCTATTTAATAAACACTCAAACTCCACTGAGTATTTATGAAAATATCAGCAAGTTGATCATTGGACTTGAAAAACTCCAATTTTACATCTTCTTTAACTATTTCATGATTAAAAGATGTTTGACTGTTATGTGTTTTGTTCTTCCATCCACTGTAAATTGGTTGCTTGCCCATAGCAATGGCTGTTTTGTCATCACAGCCAATAGTTAGAACATCTTATTTTCACCAAAATCTTCAAGTATTCTCTTCAATTAATTGCAATTGCTTGTTGGGTTGCCAAGCTAGTTGAAATATATCCAACTATTCTAGAAGTATGAGATACAACTTGCTGCTTTTTGTAGACGTGAAAATATACCTAAGCCGTGTGAAAGAATATATGTGAAGTGTTTTTCATACTATTCATGCATCTAGCCCAATCACTATCACAAATGCCAACATACATTGCTTCAGTCTTCTTGACATAATTTATTCCATAGCTCAAAGTACCTCTTAACACCCTTCTTGCTTCACCTAGATGGATATCACTTGGATCCTTCATGAATGGAAAAAGTAACTTCTTGCAAGCATGATGATATCAGACCTGCCTTAAATTAGTGACCTAAAATAAATTAGCATCACAATTCTATAGTTTCTAGCATTAACTTTCCTTCCTCCAGATTCTTTCTTTAGAAAACTGGAACACTAACTAATAAGCAAAAACTCAAAAGGAGATGGTTGAGCAGTCGAGTTCATTCTCATTGAAGAAAAAAATTACAGACTCTGATTTTGCCGATCCGATGATATTTCATTTCTCAAATTCTCAAGAGACAACTTTACAAGATGAGAATATTCCTATTTTACAAAAGTGTTACTACTAATCTATGTCAGCCTCAAAAAATGAGATCTATTGTCCATTCAAACAAGAAGTAATATGTTGGAAGACATATTCGCTGCAAGGAATTGTGAGGCCACCCATGGGATGATCATATCCAAATTCTTCCTCAGCTTGACTCAACAAGTCTTGGAATAAAGGTTGGTTCAGGTGTGATACAGGAATCACAAATCGTTTCATATTCTCTCCCACATAGACTGCAAGGTATCCCTTTGGCGCATCCAACACTTTTGAAGATGCTTGATTTCTGCCAGATGAAGTCCTTCTGATACCGGGTAAACGAAAGCCCATTGTTGTATTAACCGTGTGAGAAATTCGAGAACAAAAGGGTTTTGAGAAATTCTTAAAGCTAAGTTTTTGAATTTTGAATGCTTTAGGATGTGAATGATCTGTGTTGGTTCTAAAGGTGTGCAGCCATGAATTATATATAGAGATAAAAGGCTATCGGAGAAACCACTTGATAGATGAATTATTGATTCAGGAGAGATATGAGACTGGAATAATGGGGCCAAATCATAGACAAGTTATATGGTGTTGTCTTCGAAATAGAAACATGTATCGTGTTTAGTATGTTACAATTATTAAGGGCAGTGTGCAAATTTCACGCATTGTTGTTAGACTTTGGCGTCCATAGAAGTTGTGGCTCATAGTTTCTCATCACACATTCAATGTTGGTCGCCACTGCTTCAGAGTTATCTCAATCCTCAACATTTACAGGTTGCTTATTTCACCCTTGTGTTAGTTGGTACATGAAAGCTGCATATATCAACAGCATAATAGTCTCATTTAAATAAACATGTGAGATGTCTGCAGTATGTCTACTACATGTCTATCAATGAGTGAACAAGAATAAGGTTTCAGCTTTGATGTTGTATCTAACTTATTGCCACTTTCTTAGAAGGTAGAATGTGGGATATGGCATGCATTCTCATTAATCCATGAATGAGGTATCTAAGACAATACCATGTGATATCTGTTCCTCCTTGGACCCCATCATGGCCTTACCAAAAATCATTCACAGAGTTCTCATTAGGGACTATATATACACTATTGTTTTGAATCGTCAAGCAACCCAAGTCATTCGCATTCTGAAGCATCAGAATTCCAAAATTTCATCCTCACAAAGAGTTTGACATCACAGAACATATTGTTTGTTTGTGAGAGAAATAAAAACAATGGGTTTCCGCATCCCAGGTATTGTTAGACAGGGATCATTTTCAGCATCCAAAGCAACTCGCAAGGGAGTTGAAGTCCCAAAAGGCTATCTTGCAGTCTATGTTGGAGTTAACATGAGACGCTTTGTGATTCCAATATCATTCTTGAACCAACCTTCATTTCAACATTTACTATGCCAAGCTCAAGAAGAATTTGGATATGATCATCCAACGGGTGGCCTCACAATTCCATGCAACGAGGATGAGTTTCTAAACCTCACTTCTCGCTTGAATGAGCTGCTGTAAATCAAGCTATGATAGAAACTAGGATAGATTACTCGAGGCAAATTTGTACAGAAGGAACTTTCATTTTTTTGTGAACATTTTCAGAATTTTTCATGTCCAATTAAAGCTGGAAATTTTGACTTGAATGAGAACGTGAGGACTACACATTTCCATGAACATTTTTTGGTGGTTTTTCCAAATCTCAACCAATTCTAGTATGTACAACATTATCCTTTTATGTTAAGGATAGACAGTTTTACTGTTTTTCTTATATCTCTTTTACGCTCATTTATGTTTTTTAGCACACATGAGCTGTTCATCTAAAGGCTCACAGACATAAAAACATATGGTAACAACGCACAACACAATTCCCTTTATTACAGACTGAGTTTCACAACCATAAAAAAAATGGATTGGTAGTTATCTGTATTTATTTTTTGCTTTCTCATGTTTAAAGATACTGTACAAAGATGAAACCAAAAGTTTTATAGATTCAAAACTAGTTAAGGTAAAGAGGAAATAAGCTGAGAAGATCCGATACAATTGATGCATATTTCTAGAAAGGAAAGCGAGGCAAACATTTTATATTATGTTCATAGACATAGAATACTTAAATTACAAAGAGTTAGTTTTGTGAGAAGTTTTGCTATTGGCTTATTATAATCCTATCTCAGCCTGATCAGCAAAGGAAAGATTCGTTTTTTAATGCAGTAAACTTTTTGTTGGAAACAATAGTGTCAAAAATTGAGAAGGAACGAGAAAGTTAAAAAATTTCTTGCTGCATCTCCATACTTTCTTCCTGCACCTCGGTAAGAAAAATGAAAAGTAAAATTTGCCCTCGTTTTCTTCCCTTCTCCTTCCCCATGCTACCTCTATACTTTCTTCCACCTCCAGCCCATCTTCTTCTTCCACCTCTGCCCCATCCTCTTCTTCCACATCCGCTTCCACTCCATCATTCAGATCTTATATAATTACATTTTAAATTTCAGATTATATAATTTAAAATATAAATAATTAAATTTTAAATATATAATTTAAAATGTAATTTTTTTATTTTTAACTACATGTAGTACAGTTTTTTTATATTATATGGCTTTTTATATTTAGAATTATTTCATTTCAAAAAGATTATATAGTCTAGAATTAAAAATAATAAAAAATTGAAATTTTAAAATATATGAAGATATAGAAAGAAGTGTTGGAAGTGAAGGAAGAAATGTTCCAAAATTAAATGGTACAAGATAAAATACCAATAAATTTAATTTAACTTTTTTATTATAAGTAATGTCAATTGAATTATGGTCATATATATATATATATATATATATATATGAGATTTGCTGATTTTTTTATTTTAAAAATAACTACCTTTTATTTTATTTTTTATTTTAAAAAACAACTACCTTTTAAAAAAATATATAATAAATTCTCATACGTGGACCAATCAGATGATAAATAACCACCTTTTATTTTTTTATTTTAAATTAAATTTTAAAATTATTAAAATATTCTTGAATTTAAAGTTAGTTTTTTTTATAGAGATTTTTTTATAATCTAAAACTTAGTACACTTTTCTAAAATGTAACAAAACACCNTTTTGATTATTATTTTTTTCTCTCTCTACTACATTCAAAACATTTTAAATATTGAGAAGTAACGGTTAGTTAATAAGAATTACATAAGTACTACATGATCTTATCAGGATCTTGAGCGTGGATTTACGAACAGGTGGCAAGATCCTAATCGTGGCTTGAATATCACAATGGAATTCCTTGTTGCTCAGAGGGAAAGATCCACCTGCAAAAGACTCTCTAATGCTTAAGTCACTAAAAGAGTTTGGATCTTTTATGAATATAGTATTGAGTATGAGTAATTATTAAGTTGAGTATTCTTTGGAGAATATTAGTTGTATTTATAGGGTAAACACGAGTCGTGAACCTATGTTCTCATTAAAATAATACTTAGCTCTTATATAATAATGTTGATAACAACATAATGATATCTCATTATAAATAGTAATCATAATATCAAGTTATGATACGTGAATATTGTCCAATAGACGTAGGCTTGGCTTTTTCAGAATGAAGAGGCTTAAAGGACCTTGTTGAACCGTGTTCTTTAGTATGTCTATTAAGCCGAGAAAGAACATAAGCCCAAAGTTTCGGTAGTTTGATTTGGTGTATGTGATTGCATATGATCTCTTGGTTGGGCTTTGGCCAATTTGTATAGTTTGCAGGTGGATTCACGGCTCCAGACTTTTCATATCCATATCTTCCAGTTTAGGTACGGATTCTTTCATGTATGTCCAGTAGAGGAATCCAACAGATATCTTCCACAATTTGGTAGCAGAGAATGTGCTTCAATTCTGATTTCTGGCGTGGTATCTAAAATTTTTAATTTTGAATGTGTACTTGTTAATATAATCTACTTTAATTTTGTCCCAAATAAATTTATCTTTCTCTTTGATCCTAGAAAGACACTCTGTTCTACCCTTGTTTAGAATCAAGTGTTTTGTTGCTAATTTCTATAGTTTTAAAACAAAGTCTAGTATTTAATGCACTGAATGAAACATTGTAACTAATAAATAAAAAACTAAACCGAGATGCCTTAGCAGTTGAATTCATTCTCTTTGTAGAAAAAAATAATTGTCAACTGGATGGTCTTTCATTTCCCAAATTCACAGGAAAGAGACAACTTTACAAGATGAGAATATTCCTATTGTACAAAAATGCTACTACTAATCTATGTCAGCCTCAAAAATTGAGATTTATTGTCCATTCAAACAAGAAGTAATATGTTGGAAGACATGTTCGCTGCAAGGAATTGTGAGGCCACCCATGGGATGATCATATCCAAACTCTTCCTCAGCTTGACTCAACAAGTCTTGGAATAGCGGTTGGTTCAGGTGTGATACAGGAATCACAAACCGTTTCATATTCTCTCCCACATAGACTGCAAGGTATCCCTTTGGCGCATCCAACACTTTTGAAGATGATTGATTTCTCCCAGATGAAGTCCTTCTGATACCGGGTAAACGAAAGCCCATTGTTGTATTAACCGTGTGAGAAATTCGAGAACAAAAGGGTTTTGAGAAATTCTTGAAACTAAGTTTTTGAATTTTGAATGCTTTAGGATGTGAATGATCTGTGTTGGTTCTAAAGGTGTGCAGCCATGAATTATATATAGAGATAAAAGGCTATCGGAGAAACCACTTGATAGATGAATTATTGATTCAGGAGAGATATGAGACTGGAATAATGGGGCCAAATCATAGACAAGTTATATGGTGTTGTCTTCGAAATAGAAACATGTATCGTGTTTAGTATGTTACAATTATTAAGGGCAGTGTGCAAATTTCACGCATTGTTGTTAGACTTTGGCGTCCATAGAAGTTGTGGCTCATAGTTTCTCATCACACATTCAATGTTGGTCGCCACTGCTTCAGAGTTATCTCAATCCTCAACATTTACAGGTTGCTTATTTCACCCTTGTGTTAGTTGGTACATGAAAGCTGCATATATCAACAGCATAATAGTCTCATTTAAATAAACATGTGAGATGTCTGCAGTATGTCTACTACATGTCTATCAATGAGTGAACAAGAATAAGGTTTCAGCTTTGATGTTGTATCTAACTTATTGCCACTTTCTTAGAAGGTAGAATGTGGGATATGGCATGCATTCTCATTAATCCATGAATGAGGTATCTAAGACAATACCATGTGATATCTGTTCCTCCTTGGACCCCATCATGGCCTTACCAAAAATCATTCACAGAGTTCTCATTAGGGACTATATATACACTATTGTTTTGAATCGTCAAGCAACCCAAGTCATTCGCATTCTGAAGCATCAGAATTCCAAAATTTCATCCTCACAAAGAGTTTGACATCACAGAACATATTGTTTGTTTGTGAGAGAAATAAAAACA